TCTCACCCCACCCCACCAGTGAGGAGGCTGGGGGGGCACAAGAAGATGGGAGGGGGCACAGCCAGGACAGCTGACCCCAGCTGACCCAAGGGGTATCCCACACCATATGAGGTCATGCTCAGCATGTAGAGCCGGGGGAAGAAGAAGGAAGGGGGGGACATTTGGAGTGATGGCGTTTGTCTTCCCAAGTCACCATTATGCGTGATGGAGCCCTGCTCTCCTGGGGATGGCTGAGCACCTGCGTCCCCATGGGAAGCAGGGAATGAATTGTTTGTTTTGTTTTGCTTTGCTTGCATGCATGGCTTTTGCTTTCCCTTTTAACCTGTCTTTATCTCAACCCATGAGTTTTCTCACTTTTACCCTTCCAATTCTCTCCCCCATCCCACCAGGGGGGAGTGAGCAAGCGGCTGTGTGGGGCTTTGTTGCCAGCCAGGATTAAACCACAACATCAGGGGAAGCACATGAGACCCAAGGGGCTGTAGGAGTCTGGGTGTTCACAGCAGATCACTAGCACTTTACAGACATTACGTATGAGGATGTACAGACAAGATTTGGCAACAGAGTCCTGGGACCAGCTCTTTGGTCTCAGGTGACTGAATCACTGTTCTGCTCTACTTCTATGCCAGAAAACACCCAGAGTTCTCACCCTGCTTGCAGGGGTTTGGATTTCTGTGGGGAGGAGCAGTGGGAAGCGAAATATTTAATTTAAGATTTTTTACATTGTATTAAATACTCAATATTAATTAAACCAATCATCCTGTTAAGTTCTGTGCAGGGTGCCTTTACCTTTCATGCATCTTCACACCTTCTGTGGATCTTTAACTAGTTTCTAGAAACATCAGAAAGGAGACTGAAGGTTGCTGCAGGGATTTGTGGTTTGGGGAGAACCTGTGACCATGCAAATGTTGTAGACATTATGGTTTGTCTGGTTAAAATAGGATAAATAGAATAAACTGAGTGTATGCCTCAAAATCTGCGTGTGTGACTTGAGTACAACTGTGTAATTTGATTCCAGACATTGAGGTGAAATGCCGAGGAAGAACTTGGAGTGATGCCCTTCTCCAACCACACCACCTGCCCCACTGCTCAGATACTAGAAGGGCTGGCAGATGCCAGTCTATGCATGAGGGTAAACAGCAAGATTTTAGGCATATACATAGCAGCTAGGCTCTAAATATTTCTGCATTTTGAGTTTGTTTGACAGCATTAGAATATGATTTCTTTAGTCTTACGTGAATGATTACCCAAAGGAACATAAGCTGAAGAGGTAAAAAAATCAGTATGCAAACAAGGACTTCATCCCTAGTTTGTTCATTCTTATCTTGAGCAGATTAATAAGTAATCCCATATCTCAGCAGACACAGGGAGGCACTGTTGGCTAATTTCATCCATGTGCTTTGGCATATAAATAAACACAGATTTACAGGTCCAACATCAGGCTCTTCCAACACTTGACTTCTCTTCCTCAGCTCACCATGGAGCTCCCAGGAATGACCACTATTTTCTTGCTGGTCTGCATCTCATGCCTTCTCTTTGCCACATGGAGAAGCATATCACAAAAAGAGAAGCAGCCTCCTGGTCCCATCGCACTCCCCATTGCTGGAAACATACTCCAGCTGAACCCATGGAACTTGCCGGAAAGCTTGAAGAAGGTAAGAGACTGTCTCCTTCTTTCTTACATCGTCTCCATTGCATATAAAACAAAGTCTGGTCCAGACTGTCTCAGCTTAATTCACTGGCTTAATTTGCATTGACCAAATGTCAGACTCAAACAGAAACAAAAGGTTTCCCAGAAATACATGCTTCTGAAGTCCCTATATTGCAACAATCTATATATCTAAGTCTGTATCTAAGTCTATATATTGCAAGTCTAAGTCTATGTATTTGCAGTAATATTAGTAACGATGACTCCTGTGCTGACCTCATGGCAGTACTGCAATCTGCAGTGGATTTGCAATCAAGGAACTGATGCTATTGCAGTATTCACTATACTCTTTCTCTGCCCAGCTCCTCACCACGCTGGCAACATGGCCTGGCCCTTTTTTGGGGAGGACCCTGCTCCATTTTGCTGCCTCTGCTCCCTAACAGACAGATAGGATCTCCTCGGAGTGGAAATAGTGAGTGAAGGGGTGGAAACAAAAAATTTTGGAGGTGAATTGTGCTGTCTGTTCCCTGCCTTGGCTAATGTCACTCATCTATCAAACCAAACCTGTGTGTTGGAAGGCCTGGGAAGGGATAGGTGGGGGGAATTCAGCTAGAGTGCCTGTTCCTTAGGATATTGTGAGAGGATGGTGGCAGATGGATGGGAACAGTGGGTGTCCCTGGGTTCTTCAGGGCAAAATTGTGGCGATGGCTGACATCACCATGTGTATCGTCAGATGCACACACGCTCATAGGAGCTCCTTTTTGCCTTGGTGCTTGTGAACGTTGAGAATCATGAGCACCCATAGGCATCCTGCTTTGTTTCAGAGCATGAGGTGATTCAGTTTCCAACCATAAATAACCTGGGACCATATCTAGTTTGCTTTTAAAAAGTGAGCATGAGAGGTGTTACAGGTCAGACCAAAGCCCAAGAATCTTTCTGCAATTGTAGCCAAAAGCAGATGCCTGGGAAAGAGCACATGATTAGTGCAAGGATGCAGTGACTCTCTGCTGAAATACTCACCCAATTTCCAGAGATCTGTGGCCCAGGAGATTTTAGGGACAACTGTGGTATGTTTGTGCTCAAAAACCCTTTAGGCACTTGCTTCCGTAAGTCTAAATAGTTGCTTTTTGAGCCCACACAAACTGTGGTCCACTGTGCCCTGTTGTTGTGGTTTAACCCGGCAGGCAGCTGAACACCACCCAGCCGCTCATTCAGTCCCCCCCTCAGTGGGACGGGGGAGAGAATCAGAAAAAAAAAAGTAAAACCCATGGGTTGAGATAAAGACAGTTTAATAAAACAGCAGAGGGGGAAAAAATAACAATGGTAAGAGAAAATGCACAACATACAAAGCAAGGGATGCACAGTGCAATTGCTCACCACTCGCTGACTGATGCCCATCCCACCCCCGAGCAGCGATCGCTACCCCCGGCCAACTCCCCCTCATCTTATAAACTGAGCATGACGCCATATGGTATGGAACACCTCTTTGGCCAGTTTGGCTGTGCCCCCTCCCAGCTCCTTGTGCACCTGGCAGGGCATGGGAAGCTGAAAAGTCCTTGACTGGTGTAAGCACTGCTGAGCAACAACTAAAACGTCAGGGTGTTACCAACATTATTCTCGTACTAAATCCAAAACACAGCCCTATGCCAGCTACCAGGAAGAAAATTAATTCTATCCCAGCCGAAATGAGGACACCTGTAGAAAGGCGTTCCAGACTGTTCTGCTAGCCCTATGAAGAACTATTTTCTTTTCTGGGATTTGGGCTCAACACCTTACCATTTTCATTCATATCCCCTATTTCTTGTACAATTCCCTCTTCCCCTGGCTGCAATTCATAGTTGAAAGATCTCTGCACTGCTGCTGATCAATGCTGCATCTCAGTGATGCTGGGGCAATGGCACATCATCCCAAACTTCTTTTCACATGATAAACATTCAGACATGTTGTTCTTTGTGTTCCTCTTTCCTACAGCTCAGCAAGAAGTATGGTCCCGTCTTCACAATATATTTAGGCCCACAAAAGGTTGTGGTGCTGTATGGCTATGACATTGTGAAAGAAGCTCTGATCGATCAGGCAGATGACTTCAGTGGAAGAGGAAATCTACCACTGCTTAAAAGACTCTTCCAAGGCACAGGTAGATCCCTGGTAATGTTAGCATAGAAAGCTGGTGCTTTCAGTGCCTCAGGAGCACAGCTGAGAGGGCAGTGGAGGAGGGAATGGTGGATTTCATTTACTGCTTTCATGCATACAAATTAACAATAAAAGACTAAAAGCCCAACTTGTTACTTGGGCCCTTGAGTAAATTGGACCCCTGGAGAACGGTTTAAGGTCCCAGGTTGGCTTCACTGAGTGCTTTTCTGTTTTCAGCATGCTTCAAATTCTAGCTAAAATTTTGTTCATTAAATGTGCCTCTAAGATCTTATGTTCATTCTCCCATTTCTGAAAATATTGGCAATATACATACAGCTAAGGAACCGGCAAAAGAAAGGCCACAGCACAACAAAGACAAGATAATACAGGCTGTCCCAGTAAGGGCCACATTCAAGATTACGCCCTGAGCTTATTCACCAGGGCAGTTCCCAATATGGTGCTTATCTGGGTGAATAGTACCTATTCCATGGTACTACAGTACAGTGTCTGTGGTATTGTCAATAATGATTTGCTGTATGAAGGTGCATAGCAGAACATTTGAGCAATTATGTCAGTGCAAATGCCATGTGCTTGTGGCCAAGATCAATTCAGTCCTAGTGTTACCTTCTTATTTACATCCTAATGTAGTTTTTCATATTCTGGGAATAAGCTCAGTTTTACTCAAAGTGCTGTGACAGATGGATCAGATTTGTCACCTCCAGAACTGCAGAGAAGTTAGGGGTTTGGGCATATAGCAATTGCAGTATAGCTCCACAGAGAGATGTCTCTGCATGTTGAGTACTTACCGTGTAGCTCCCATTCAGGGAAAAAAAAAGTGTTTCCTCATGGAGGTCTATTTTTCCTTCCTGTGTCAGGCATTGTGACCAGCAATGGGGAGACCTGGAAGCAGCTTCGACGATTTGCAGTCACCACCCTGCGGGATTTTGGGATGGGGAAGAAGAGCATCGAAGAGCGAATCCAGGAGGAAGCTTGTTTTCTGGTGGAGAGAATCAGGAACACACATGGTAGGACATGGACTTTGTGCCTGCTGGGACACCCCGCATATCTGCAATGAGGCAGTGAAGGGTTTAGGGCTGCTTCACCAGATCTATGACCCAAGAAGTGGGCATGTGGCTGCTGTTTCTGTTCCCCACTCCAATAGGCAAAGTGGGAGTGGGTCAGTCAAAGGCACTGTGACAGTATGGAGGGATAAATGTAGGGGACTGATGTTGGAAAGCATCCTTCAACCTGTTCCACTTGAGGAACAAGACAGGAAATGGCAAAAAGAGAATGGCTTGGCCCCAAAGCCGAGGATTTGGTGGAATTCAGCCATGGAGCCAGGGCTGGGCACTGCCAGGTAACCAAGGAACATGTGCTTCCTTGCCTTGTCTCCTGCAGCTCTAAGGAAACAGATTGTGAAGAAGCAGGTGACCAGAGAATTCATTTGCAGATATTTGGGTTTGAGTCCAGTCCATCTGAACACTAGACAATACTTCCCAGTATATTGGTGCAATGGGAACAGGGACTATAAGCTGCTTTTGAGGGCAGGGCATAAGGTAACCCGCTTGGTTTCAACCAATAAGTGCATTTTCTGGTATTATATAAGACAATGTTACTGCTAAGTACTTCCCTTTGAGAGTGGCACAGTACCAGCCTGGACCGCAGACAGGCTTCCTTTCCACAGCCAGCCTTCAATGTGTGCCTGTTCTGCAAGGGAGAAAAAGCAGATGGATCTAAAAGGATGCTGAAGCATCGCTGTTTTCCATAAGCCACTAGAAAATTCAGTCTGGCTTCATAGATAAACATTCATGCAACAAGTCAGAGAAAACACTCTCACCTGCATTGCTCTTACCCTTTCACTAGCACAGTAATACCACATTTCCTATGCCCTATTGCAAGCCTCCATCTCCGGCTCACCTGGTCACAGCATCTTTTACTATGTAATAAAAGGTTTTGCAAGCAAGACATATAAAACTGAAAAGTATAAAGCTGCTATTTACTCTTCATGCAAAAAACTAGTTATCTACTAGACTTAGCATTAATATTCTCACCACCTCTGAGGAGACATCTGCTGAGTCTTCAATGGCCAGGGAGTCATCAGTCAGGCAAAGGGTTGGTGCCATTGCTCGTTGGCATAGGCTGATCCTCAATGCTGCCAAGTTGCCATTTTCTGACTTTGATCACAGGCATTTGAACCCCTCAGAGAGGGGTTATGCAACTAAGGTTATATTAATAGAGTTCATAGAAAGGGTGAAACAAGCTACAGACGTGGTTCAGGCAAAGTCCTTATGGTTTCCTCAGGTTTTGGCAGGAATCTTTAGGCCATTTCTAATAAACAGTCTATAAGGCAGACAGGCGTGTGTCAGCTGAAGGGGAACCAAGCTGCTCAGACCAGTGTTCTACTGAGAACAGTACAAAAGAGGTACTTAAACTGTTCAAACAGGGAAATTAGGTCACTTCAAGTAGAGAAGAATAAATTGGATAAGCCCTTCGCCATCCTTTCAAAGGACTGCAAAACTGGGTATCAAGGGGATGCAAAACTTCCCTGTAGTGTCAGAGGAGGGGATGATGCCTGAAATACTGAAAGCAAGATACAATTTTTTGTTGTTGTTGCAGAGCGACCCTTCAACCCTGGCAACTTCCTAGTCCACGCTGTTTCCAACATCATCTGCTCTGTCATCTTTGGGGATCGGTTTGACTATGAGGACAAGAAATTTCTAACTTTAATTGAGTTGCTAGATGAAACCAACAAGCTCCAGAATTCTATACAAACACAAGTGTGTACAGTTTTATTTAATTAATACATTTGTTAATGATTATATTTTATTCATGAATACTTATTCATGTTACTCATATTTAACTGGACTGGATTTTCCTAAATTTGAAGAAATTTCTGGAAGCCAAAAAGGCAGTTAAATAACCAATTCCTGTTGTTCTTTCTTACCTTATGAAACTCCCATTGTATGTCCAAAGAAGGATATTATTGCAAAAGTTGCTCAAGTGAAGTCTGTCCTTCTATATAGTGAAACCATAAAGTAAAAGGCATTAAAATCCAGTTGAATAAAGAAGACCTACTCTTCCAAAATGGTTTAATAATTGCCCCATTTTCATAGTTACAGTTAGAGGAACATTTTGTTATATCCACATTAATCAGAATGTGCTTTTCTGTCATTTTATTTTTACAGCTATACAATTTCTTTCCAATTGTCATGGAGTATTTACCTGGGCCTCATCAAAAAATGATAAAAAATACTGAAAAAGTTGATCAATTCATTTTACAAATCATAGCAGAACACCAGAAAACCCTGGATCGCACTTGTCCTCGAGATTTTATTGATGCTTTTCTCAACAAAATGGAACAGGTAATGTAAGAGTGAGAGATTTATTGGATTATGAAAAAACTACTGCTTGAATCAGTTATGGCAGGGCACCGGGCTTTTGCAAATACAGAGAGGAACTTGTTTTTCTTGGCACATCATCAGCTTCATTCTATCCTCTCCATTTTCTTATCCTGGATTTTTAAACACAGAAATAACAGCCCTAGCCAAAGTTGGGAAAGCTGAAGACCAATCTGGTTGATGTAATTCAATGCTCCTCCCATATTAAAAAAAGGTTTGTAATATTCTCCAGTAAAAGAACTATAAATGCTGGTGTTCGGGAGAGTGAGTGTCATATTTTTAAAAGGACATCAGATGTGTTTAAAAACATACATTATGGGTACAGGGCTTTCCTTTTTAAACAAGCTGCATAGCTTTGTCATTCAAAATGTTCTGATGAATATTCCTCCAGGAGAAAGAAAATGGTCACACAAAATTCACCGTTGAGACCTTGAGCAGAACCACGCTTGACTTGTTCCTTGCAGGAACAGGGACCACCAGCATCACACTGAGACATGGACTTGTGATTCTCCAGAAATACCCAGAGATAGTAGGTAATAGAAAAGGAAATAAACAATTGAAAACTTTTTAATAGGTCATGGGATCAGTTTTGACAATTTCTGTCACTGCCACATGTGGCAGTGGTCCTCCCACTAAGGAAACATGTATGTGCAGTGTGGAAATATGTATTAGTCTTAGTTCTATTCACAGGAAAGAAAAATTAGTATTAAGTACATTCATATATTCCTGGTGCGCTGAAAGCAAGTTTTGCCGTAAATATGGGGAGAGGTTTAGTCAAACAGGTGGGGGACTTGTGCATTCAACACTTACTTATTTCCTAACAGAGAAAATTCAAAAGGAGATTGACTGTGTGATTGGCCGAGACAGAAGGCCCTGCATGGCAGATCGGAGCCAGATGCCCTACACAGATGCTGTGGTCCATGAAATCCAGAGATTCATTGATTTCCTTCCACTTAATGTCCCACGTACTGTGATCAAAGACACCAAGTTGAGAGACTATTTTATCCCCAAGGTCTGTTCCACTGTGTCTGAGAAAGGTCACAATCTCTTGAAAACAATGATGTGTTCTATTAATTGTATTTTATTTTCTTTTCAAAAACACTGACATGTGATATAGAATTAGAATAATTTTGTTTGGAAGGGGATTCTGGAAGTTATTGAGCCAAGTCCTTGTATCTGGAAAAAAAAAAAAAGACTTTGTCCTCTGTGTAAAGAGGGAGATAGAGCTTTCTATTTTTTTTCATGTAATTGTGATTAGTCAAATTTCTAATTTATTTGGAAGTAATATTAAACACTCTCATCAGGCTCACCGTAAAAATTCATTAAAAAAATCTTTCCTATACCAATGGCACACATTTTTATTCATTAAATGCTCATTTTAAACTGGTTAAACTTTGACTACCTTTCTATTCAGCTCTGGGAACTTCTCAATGTCGCTTTGCTTTAGCGTGTCTCCATTTTAACTTTCTTCTCCTCTTTTTGTTAATTCAGGACACTATGATATTCCCTACGTTGACTTCCGTTCTACATGATAGCAAGGAATTTCCAAATCCAGAAAAATTTGACCCAGGACATTTCCTGAATGAAAATGGTACCTTTAAAAAGAGTGACTACTTCATGCCATTTTCTGCAGGTAAGACCTCTTTCTATTTCAGATCCTAGACTATCCTCTCCTAGTCCTTCTTTGAAGATTTTAGTGGCTCTGTCGCCATGGTCTGTAGAGTGATGTCTGGTGATTTGCCAGAGTCACTTCTGGGCAGCTCTAGCCCCTGTACTACAGCTTCAGTTGACTTCCTTTTTTAGCAACCTCAAAAGCTCCTCCAGTGCATTCTACAAGAAGAGATCGATGAAGTGGGACTCAGCCATGCCAATTCTCTCTCTCCAAACTTAACATCAAACAGCAGCAGAACATGAGAAAACAAAGCCTCCAGGCTGCCTTTGCCCACTGAGCACTCTCACCATTCTAGACACTTAGCCCCTAGTTTAACTCATTTGCTTCCCCAAAACGCTACAGTGCATTCTGTCCATTCTGAGATGTCTGAACTTCCATGGAACAGTGGTTAAAATAAGTTACCAGCAAAATACTCCACTGTCATCTCACTTTTTATTATTTTTTGCTTGCAGGAAAACGCATCTGTGCAGGAGAAGGTCTGGCCCGGATGGAGTTATTCATATTTTTAACAGCCATCCTGCAGAACTTTTCTTTGAAATCTCTTGTGGATCACAAGGACATTGACATTTCCCCATTAGTCAGCACTCTGGCAAATATGCCCCGGCCTTATGAGGTCTCTTTTCTTCCACGTTAGCCAAGCAAAGACAGTTGCCAGCTCCCAAACTCATGAAAGCTCTGGTTGAATGACAGGCATTTCCCAGACTGTTGAGACTGAAACACTCAGATCATTTGCTAGATACTTTACAGAGAGAAATGTGCCTAGAAAAGAAAATTGTATGGTGCTTTTATAATCACTGCAGCCAGCTCTAAACAGAAACAGAGTAGGCAATTGCGTAAGAAAGGAGACAGCTCCCTGTGCAAAATTATACAGGCTCTCTTCTGCACCTACCTCACCTAGCTCAGGTTCCTATCGGGCTCCTGACATCCTGACATGTCAGGCTGCATGGACTCGTGCTCTGAGAGCCCTGCTGCTGCTGTCCCTATTGCTTGATCCTCTTGGCACAGCAGAAACAGATGCATGTACTCCAGGGCTTCCACAGGCTGCTTGAGGTACCTCTCCCTTGTATTTTCAGTTTGTTTGTGACCTATTTGTAATGGTAGGCATAAAACAGCGTCTTCAAAGCAACCTTTACCTTTAAATTTGAACAGCTATTCACTCTTCTCACATTGATTCTCATTTTCATTTTATATTATATTTCAAATTGCAAACAGTTCATACTATTTTATTGCATGGATTTCCTAAATTGTGTCTGTATTGCATTGTGCTCTCTAACTACTCTCTATGCAGTGCCTTTAAGTAAAATTCTCTAACTTGCTATCACATCAGAAAGACGCCTGGTTTCTTTATGGCAGCTTGCCTGAACTTCCTCTGTTCCTAGTTCAACTCTTTAGAAATGAGGGAGGGAGAGGGAGGTCCCCAGTGAGTAGTCCTGGCTCTCTTAGGATATACTTGTCCCACTGGGATGACATACCCAGTTACTCGGGTGGAAAGCTGTGTGAGATGCCACCACAGCCATCTGCTCTCCAGATCATAACCCGGACCTTACAAGGTGCAAGAGCTATCATCTACAACAGCAAGATACTAGGACTATTTAATGCCAGTGAGCCAAAGGTCTCTCCAGATTCTGCCAGGCTTTGCTCCTATACTAACGAAACATCAGCTCTTCCCACTTCTGACTTCTCAGTTACAACCTCCCCAGAGAACACCTCTACCTAAGGAGAATCTCACAGAAAAGTACCTGTTCCTCTGGAGAACTTCTGGGAGAGTGGCATAACTCCTTTTCCACTGAACTCTACACCTTTGTCAATCAACCAGAACTTATTTCACACCACCACCATACATACACCACCACTGCATGTACTGAGCCCAAACATATTGTGAACACAGGATCATACTCCTTGCTGAGCTGAAACAATTTACCAAAAAAGAACACAGTTTTTAAGTTACATCCACTTGTCTCAGACAAGTTACTCTTCAGCTGCAGCATGTTTCCTATGAGGGGCAAAGGAAATGGCCCAGGGGGCAGTTTCCCTGTTTCAGACATCTTCCTCCATGCTGAACAGACAAGGAGGCAGACAATGCAAACCAGCAAGAAAATGACTGCGGGTCCCAGGGGTTCCATTGCAACGTGGAACAGGGATGTGGGATCAGGAAGGGCTGAAGCTGTATCCTGGAAGGCTCACTTTATGCAGCCTACAGTAAAAACAACAGTGCAAAGGTAACAGAAGGCTGTTCTCATTTCCTCTGGGTTAAATACACTGGTTAGAAAAAAATCACTTGCTGCCAACAAACTTGGATGAACTGCTTTAATTTTTAAGTCTTTGTGACTTTCTTTAAGGTCAACCTTGTTCTAATTGTCGCGGTTTAACCCAGCTGGCAACTAAGCACCACGCAGCCGCTCGCTCACTTCCCCCCTCCCTCTGTGGGATGGGGGAGAGAATCGGAAAAAAGAAAAAAAAAAGTAAGACCTGTGGGTTGAGATAGAGACAGTTTAATAAGAGAGAAGAATAACAATAGTAATAATAATAATGGTAAGAGAATATACAGAATATATAAAAAAACAGGTGATGCACAATGCAATTGCTCACCACCCGCTGACCGATGCCCAGCCCGTCCCGAGCAGTGATCACTCCCTGAGCCGCGATCACACCGCCCGAGCTGCGATCACTCTGCCCATGACCCACTGACCGAACTAACCCCCCCGAGCATGACGTTATATGGTATGGAATAGCCCTTTGGTCAGTTTGGGTTAGCTGTCCTAGCTGTGCTGTATTCCCAGCTTGTTATGCACCTGGCCGAGCAGGAGAAGCTCAAAAAGTCCTTGAGTAGTCTGAGCACTACTTGGCAACAACTGAAAACATCAGAGTGTTATCAACATTCTTCTGGTACTAAATCCAAAACACAGCACTATGCTAGCTACTGTGAAGAAAATTAACTCTATCCCAGCCGAAACCAGGACATAATGTAGGGACAAACATTGACTGTTAAAAACCTTGCATTAACAAACCCTGTCATACTTTCATGGCATGCTTGTCTACTACTAAGCTGCCTACTACTGCTGCTTATATGTTTCTCCTCTGATGGGATGCTGCAAACACAACAATGTTTTTATCTTCAGTCCATTATACACACTTGTGATTATCATCCCTTTGGATAACTTTTAACATTTCTATTGAACACACAGTTCCAGGTTAAAAAGTATACTCCATTCTAGAAGAGTTGTTTTGCAGCTGTTGGACATGTTGCAGTTTCCACTGATGATTTAAGAGCCCATTCTGAAGACTGTGGATGTCTCCACAAAGTACTGCTCTGGAAGTTGGATGACATTAGAATAACCTGTTAGAGCAGCTGAGCAAACCTCTCTCAAGGTGCCAGGGAAAAAAGTCCTCTTCTGGAACTCAACTCTTCTGCTTCTGCTGAAAGAGCTGTATTTGCTAGGCTGCTTTTCACCCCCTGGTTTGCAGTTGCAATTCAAGTCCTCAAGAACTGCTTCAGCTCTGAAGTAGTTGCACAGACTGCTTTGATGAGATACTTTGCCCCTTGACTCTCATCAGTTGGCCCTCCCTTTCATCTGTTCTCTTCTGTGTTCTTCCCTTTAAGTACCTGCTACTTTCTTATTATGTTTTCCACCAGAAAATGCTGTAGGAGAGAAGAGATAGTGTTTTAGTCTCCCCCTGTACCTCTGTACCTTCTCTGGAACTTTTCACAGTCTTTCCAGATGAAATGTTTGAGCTGCAAACAAGTTGTGCCTCTGCTTTTGGACTATACATTTCCCCAGTACAATGCTATTCACACACGCCTAGCAACGTCTCTTCTATGATGCTACTCTCCAAGGATCTGCCATCCTTGCGGTGATTTGGATTCTACCAGTCACACAGAGGGTCCTCAGGCAGAGAGGGGAATAGTTACCCCAAGACAGAACTGGGAACACAGCTGTGAGCTCTTGGCCTAACTGGGATGCCACTGTTACACAATCCTCCAGTCAGCGAGGTAGTCAGTCTCTAAAATTTCCTCCCAGTAAAAAGTCACTTGTGGGACAAGCTCTTCTCCCCATTTCTGCTTCCTGGAGGTAGGATACTCAAGAGTTTGTGAAGAAATTTGGTATTTCTTTTAGCTCCCTTACCCGAAAACACTGAAAGCTTGCTGGCAATGCATGGCTAAATAGATTTCCATCTTCAGAGTTCCTGGAGGTTTTCATCTTTGTAGTTTTAAAATAGGATTGTATACTCTACACGTAGAAAAGCAACTTTTTCAACAGGAACAAAATTTGGTCCTTTGCCTTTACTGCTTTATCGTGTGGAAGTTTTTTCTGCTGACACATCGCCCTCTTGTGGCCCTCCTGCAATCCCGTCAAGGAAAGACCATGAGCAGAGAAATGCCGTATTATTTTTCTTTGAAATTTTCTATGCCCCGATCACAGAGATTCCTATACCTTCCAACAGCACGCTGGTTTGCATGTGGTGAGTGGACCTCTTCACCAAAGCAACTATCAAACGCACCTGTGATTGAAACAAGACATGGCTAAGCCAGCAGTCCTACAAAACCACATCCAAATAGGAGTGTCACTGGAGTATATTTAAATCTGTTCTTGAGCCTGCTCTTTGCCATGCTATAGACATACAAACCAGACACCGGTCCTCTGACTATGAAGAGGTGGGATGGGGCAGGCCAGGAAGCTCCATACAGACTGAGCATTCTCCAGATGAGGGAAGTACAGAGGGAACGAGATAGATACAACGGTTTTACTTTCATGTGACCCTATTTACCTACCCATCGCCACTCAGCTCCCTTGATCCCCTTGACCTTGAGGGGTGAGGAGCAAGACCTGTCAACAACAGCTGCATGGTTGCTGTCTCAGAGGGCACCATTCCAATTTTAGTCATGACACTGACAGCATCCTCAGCTTTCAGACATGTCTTTAGAGACCTGAGAAGTGATTAGGGGTTACAGCTGGTACGTGTGTGCTCCAGAGTGGTGTTTTGTACAGTCACAATTTCCTTAATCACAACTTTCCAGTTCTCTTCTGAGCAGAGGACAAACACTAGCCCTCATGCCCCTGAGAATGTGTTCTGGCTTAGCTAGCACTAGCCTATCCTTGAGCACAACCCTTTCCGCCCAAGCACTGACAATCCTTATATCCAACTCCCATGTTAGGAAAGCTTCCTACTGGGCTGCTGTCATGTCCATAGCTGCCTTTGGCAACATAGCATGCTCCGGGCACACATTATGGAACGGAAGGCTTGCTGCTACAGAATGAGCTTGGTACATTAAACCATGCTTTAAAAGGGTGAGGCACATAATCCTCTTTTCTATTAAGAAAGACTAGCAGCCCCAAAACATCTTCACTATTATGTGCCTCTCCATGGTCTCAAGATGAAAAGGTGCACTACTGGGTCCAAGGCAGTTGGAAGTGCTAGAGGATGTAAACGCAAAACAGAAAGAAAAGCCGTTCTGTTCTTCTTGGCCACTTCAGGAATTTACACAGCAAAGCTGCTGTTAGAATCCCAGTGACAGTGAATCCGTGTTACTATGGAACTACAAGTTTTGGCATCCCAACTGCAATGTGGACAGTATGCATTAAGGAAAAGTAAAGGTGACTGGGACTTAAGACAGAGCAGGGCTGCCATACATCTAGCTCCATACCCAGCTTAGATCTGTGGAGTCTGTCTCCCATCGAGGGTCTGAGCACACCCAATAAGGGAGTGGACTTGCAACAATACTGGCAGCATGCTGCCCTTAGAGCATGGAGCATGTCTGGACCATGTTCCATACTTGATTTCCAGAGTATCTGCCATGAGCAGAACTTACTTGGCTTGCTGCCATGTGATAGGACAAGTCACTGGCATTTAGGGCTTGATATTACTCTTATCACATGGAGATGATCACAATTCTCTAGACAGCAGATGGCCAGTTCTCCATTGTAATTGCTTGGGATACAATTCTGCTACCCCTCATCTTGGCCTCTGCACCTAGCCAGAGTGCAGGGCCAGCTGCATCCCTGCAGCGGAGAACAATCCCTTTGTGTGCCAGCATCCACTCTGTGCCTCTAGCACCATCTTCCCAGAAAGAACTGGGAATCAGAGAGAACACTAGGCTGGAAGATCAGTGGTCTTATATCCTATAACATCCTGCCCTGGTAAGCATTTCAGTGGCCGGTCAGCTCTAGATGATGTCCACCTATCCAGAACCACTCCCAACCTGACATGAATCAGTAACTTTTCTGTTCTAAGAGATGGATAGGGGCCAAGGAGGGGACTTACAGGGGATCAGGGACTAAGGTCCCAGCCACATTCAAGTGCTATATGCTGCAATGAAAATCCTCGTTCTTTAGGGAACAGAGGAGCTCCGAGCAGCACCCTCAAGCTTTTACATCAGCAGCCAAACCTCTGTGATTCTCCTCCACGAGTTTTAGATTGTCTACTACCTTGTGGTATCACTTCACAGCATCAGAGATCACCAAGCATGCCACTGTTCAGGCTGTCATTCCAATGTCAGTCTCTGGGCACAAATACTTTAGATCTGGCTGGCTAGATCCTCTTGTCCAGCAGAACTGCAAACACACCATGAATCCTGAGATGATGATGATCTGTCAGATTTTAAAACAGGCTGTGTAATTTCCTCCAACAGAGAAATGTTAACCCATCTGTTGGTACCTCTTCCTGTTGGGTTGGAGGATGTTGCGTTGATAACAAAATGTCCAATTCGCTTTCACAGGTAGAAAAGTCATCAGTGAGCTAACTACGGATAAAAGCAATACAGACGCAAATGGCTGGATACCTCTGTGAGACTTAAACCCTCTTCTTTAAAGATGCTCATTCCAAAAAGGCCTTTCTTCAAAGTGAACTCGACCCTTTCTCAAATCCTACATCAAGGCCATACAGAATAGTATTTTCTATTTTAAACCCAGGATTTTTAAAGTGATGGTGAAGGCTCTCAAAGGCCATCTGCTTCACTGCTTTTAAAAAGCACTAGGGAAAAGTGTCCATCTTGACCCTTTACAGTGGCTGTACATTGACCGACAGCATTATTATCTTTACCACATTGGCACCTGACAGGACATTCTTCTAAACCGCCTGCAGGAAGTTTGAACTGCTTCTTTCCTACATCAGCACTTGTATGATCCTCAACTGCAACTCACTCAAAAGCCAGCTTGAACTAGTCAGGGTCAATACGTTCAGAAAAAAAAAACTTGGGACTAGGAGTACCTGTTCAGTAAGAAGGGCTCTGCTATGTTAGCAATTTGGAACACTGTTAATCTGGTAGAGAAAAAGCTTTCTGTGCTGGGCATGCCTCTTCAAAAACTACTAGGATCAAAATTCATTGGTCAAGTAAGTTAACTGAGCATGTGATCAAGCAATACTTCTTGCAATTTCACCCGAGGTCCACACAGTCAAAGAATATAACTGCAGGAATACTTGACACAGAGTTTAAGACATGTTCTCTTCTATGATTTCCAGTAGCTGGAAGGAGTTTGTCTTTATTAAACAGACCCTTTGAAAAAATAGAAAGACAACTTACATAATCTTCCCAACAGGAATTTGAGATTCCAGAGAGACAAATGCAGCGAGTTGTTTTATTGTAAATTTATAATAATTAGTCTCTCTATTTCAAACAGATAAAGGTGGATACCAAAACGAAGTGTTTTCAATACCACGTTCATAACTCCAAAGGCCCGGGTATCTTCTCAACGCAGAGGAAAGGAATTAAGTTTGGGTCCTGCTGCTACTGAGGGAAAATGTCTTTACAGGGCTTTTCCTAGGTAGAGTATTTCATGTGGGACAGAGGACTAACACACATAGCCAGTATCAACATATGGGTTAGGGACAGGCTTCTACTTTTTGCTGCAGAACAACTGAGGCAACAGAACCTCTTGAGAAGAGGAAAATAATATTCGGCCTTAAGCCTGAATACAGCCTACTGTATTCAATAGATAGAAAAAGTTACCAGTCTTGATGTTAGCTGTAACCAAATCCTTGTCAACATACAGAATTGCTGTTGTGCAACTTAAGAAGGGATCGGTCTGACTCATAGCCCAACTCCAACTTAAAGACTGTTGTAATTTCATCGTTTCTCCAGTTTTTTGTACTTGGCTTCTGCAGAAGGAAAAATAACAATATTTTAGGACTGGATAGGTAAAAGCTTTGAATCCTGTAAGCTGCTACACATCTTAAAATTCAAGTTAGTTTACAATCACTCAGGGTCATTTTTTACTAAAGCATTTAGGCAAATATAACTGTACAAAAAATGTTTAAGAACCAGGTGCAACATTAATTTAAGCCAAGGGGACTTGGGTGCCTGGTGGAACTTTATGAATCCTTCCATTTGCAGGATTAAACATCTGTCTTTAAAACTTGGGTTTACTGGATATTGTAAAAGAGAAATTGAGCCTCACTAACAAGCTGTAGCTCAGTAATACCTGTACTAGTCCACCTCCATATAACTCAATATATCAATCTTTTCCCTATGCTTGCCACTTCACATACAGTGTTTCTTGCTCAAAAGCAGCACAGTCAACTCTGCAGCTCAGACTTGTTAAGCAGAGAAGTTTACTTTGTATTTTTAAATCCCCTTGCAAGGGACTATGCTGCTAAGTAGTAACAGTACAGGACAATAGTTACCAAGTTTTTTGGAATATGCATCCAATTTATAGGCTGCCTGCTCCAGAGCTGCAACCTGTTCCTCAATTAAGTTGATTTGTTCCAGATACGGCTGAAGAGCAGCATCTTAAAAAAGCAGAAAAATCATATCTGTGAGTTCTCAGTAATTCACTTCCAAGAAAACATTCACACCTGAATCACAAGAATTTCTCATTCTTCAGACAGAACAATTTAAAAGCTCCATCCTTCCCCTGCCCCAAAATCAAGCAGTGATGCCAATAGCCATGTTCCAGGAAAGTGTGGAAAGTTTAAGAGTACTGGCTAGACTCAGCACAAGTAACAATACAACGTGAATCAAAAGAAGTGTTATTTCCTATCAGATCCAAAATTTGGGTTAAACCAGGACAGAAATTCAGATGCGTTTTCTCTTATGCTAGTGTACATAGCTGTCAAGAAATCTAAAAGCCTGGCATCGTGCAGCAGCATGTCTATTTCAGCGAGTTCCCCTAATCCAGGATGAACTGTCTGACTCTTAGATGCTTCATTTCCCAAACAAGTGTACCATCTGTTATACCCCTACCTTATTCGGTTTACTTACATTTTTGATTTAAATCCTTCAGATTTCTACTGATGTTTATAGCAATATCTTTCATTTCTAGGTACTTCAAGCTAGTCAGCTTATTCATGTTTTCCAAGAGTTTGTAGTCTTCACTGGTGGCTTAAAAAGAAGACAGTTTATTTTAATTAAAAGTTGATGCAGTTTGAATTGGGTGCAGACTCTTTAAGAGGACAAGAGATTTCAAACCAATAGCCAAATGTGAAAAGGATAGTTTAGATGGCAATACAGGTATTAGTACAAAATTAGCTCTATAAAAAGAGAGATTACATTCTGTGAACTGTAAAAATCAACTGGACTGAAGAATACTTACTCACTTGCAAATTTTTTTTGAGATAAAAATTGACTAATTCCTCACATTTCCACTTTTCCTCTGCCTGTTAAACACTCGCGTTTACAAAACTGATAGCGCAAATCCAGACTGGTAATCTGTACCATATATGCTTCAAATCCATGCAAATCAGTAGTGGCTGCAGAGTGCTTTGAAGATTAGAGCCTATAGAATCCACTAACTTGTTGAGCAGCTTACTTTGCTCCAATTAATGTTGCACAACAGTTTATTCTAAAGCATGAATACTGGAAAAAGTTTATGATCCTTGCTCTCACTCAGCTGATATCATACTGAATTCTTTTGAAAAATGAGCTATTCTGGCACTTCACTAAAATGACTAATCTCAGTGTTGTTAGTAGTCTAGCAACATGCCAGACTCGAACTGCCAGTCTTGCAAGATACGATCTAAATAGGTATAGACAAACTACACAACAGGTTTCTTTAAAAGAAAATGAAAACATTAAAAAAAACTTACTTGCAGTTCAGCATTGCAGTGCCTTACCTGTCAGTTCACCTGTTAAGTAAGTGGCCATTTTGTTGAACATGTCTTTACAGAGTTCATTGATGTCTGCCTCTGCTGGTTCCTTAGCCTCCTCCGCCGTTTCAACAGCAGGATCCTCTAACCAGGATACAGACATTACAGGGTTAGGGGAAAGTTAGCAGGTACAGAAACACACCAGAAAGATTAAATGGTCCCTTTTTTTTTTTTCCTTCAAATTGACTATGCCTACTTTCCATATAAGTTGTCTAACTGTAAGGGGTAACAAACCTAGGCAGTTTCCTTGATGTTGCATCAAGAGTATTTCAAAACAATACTTCAGGGAGCATCTAAGGGACAGGCACCTGGCCTGACAACACTTGCAAGGATCAGCCCCCCTCCTGTGCTTAGACGACAGGAAAGGGATTTGGGGAGAACTTTTGAGTGACTTTGTGCACAATGCTACTGATGTTTACCTCTAGTCACTGATTCAGAAAGAGGAACAGCCCCCCCCCAGTCCGTATCAGGAGGGACTACAACAGATCGCGGCCTGTGGAGAGCGATAATCACCGCTTTTCTTCTCCAAACCCGTTTCTACCACAACTTGCCCTTGTTCTGCTCTTCGCAGGAGCAGCTCAGCGCCTCCCCCTCACCCCGAAAGGCTGCTCTTCCCTTTGTCGGCAGCGTTTGCCGGCTTGAACACAAAGGCAGCGCGCAGGCCCGCGGCTCCC